GCCTCCTGGTTTTTATATACATGACATGCATTGTTTTAACTGCTTTTTAGACATGGCAAGATATGGGGACACCATAATGGATATAAAACAGGATTGTTACCAGTAACTACAGTAACTTGGTAACTAATTTTCATCACAAATGATATGCACTTCAAACTTGCCCAGCTTGCATGAACTACCAACTGTACCAGGTACATGATTTCTGGACTGTGATTATAATGACTTTCAGTGGTAACACAAGGAACTGTGGTGTTAAGTAATTAATGTCTGGTCACTGAATGACTACAAATAACTATTATTTGCAATAAAAGGAAAGTAGCAAACGTAGATAGTTAAGATGATTCTTAAATGTGGTAGCTAAGGTAACCAACAAATTTCAATTCATATTGTTACAGATATCTATCAGCTAAAATGGTAACAGTGGCTGGTAACTAGGTAACTGTGGTAACCAAGGTAACCGTCACAATACAATGGATATTTTTAGAGATACCTTTCAGTTATATATAGGTAACAGTGGCTGGTAACTTGGTAACTGTGGTAACCAAGGTAACCATCACAATACAATGGATATTGCTACAGATGTCTATCAGCCATATACAGGTAACAGTGGCTGGTAACTAGGTAACTGAGGTAACTGTGGTAACCAAGGTAACTGCCACAATACCATGGATATTGTTACAGATATCTTTCAGTTATATATAGGTAACAGTGGCTGGTAACTTGGTAACTGAGGTAACTGTGGTAACCGTCACAATACAATGGATATTGCTACAGATGTCTATCAGCTATATATAGGTAGCAGTGGCTGGTAACTAGGTAACTGAGGTAACTGTGGTAACCAAGGTAACCACCACAATACAATGGATATTTTTAGAGATATCTATCAGTTATATATAGGTAACAGTGGCTGGTAACTAGGTAACTGAGGTAACTGTGGTAACCAAGGTAACCGCCACAATACAATGGATATTTTTAGAGATATCTATCAGTTATATATAGGTAACAGTGGCTGGTAACTAGGTAACTGAGGTAACTGTGGTAACCAAGGTAACTGCCACAATACAATGGATATTGTTACAGATATCTTTCAGTTATATATAGGTAACAGTGGCTGGTAACTAGGTAACTGAGATAACTGTGGTAACCAAGGTAACCGCCACAATACAATGGATATTGTTACAGATGTCTATCAGCTATATATAGGTAACAGTGGCTGGTAACTTGGTAACTGAGGTAACTGTGGTAACCAAGGTAACCGTCACAATACAATGGATATTGTTACAGATGTCTATCAGCTATATATAGGTAACAGTGGCTGGTAACTTGGTAACTGAGGTAACTGTGGTAACCAAGGTAACTGTCACAATACAATGGATATTGTTACAGATGTCTATCAGCTATATATAGGTAACAGTGGCTGATAACTTGGTAACTGTGGTAACCAAGGTAACCATCACAATACAACGGATATTGTTACAGACATCTTTCAGTTATATATAGGTAACAGTGGCTGGTAACTAGGTAACTGAGGTAACTGTGGTAACCAAGGTAACCGCCACAATACAATGGATATTGCTACAGATGTCTATCAGCTATATATAGGTAACAGAAGCTGGTAACTTGGTAACTGAGGTAACTGTGGTAACCAAGGTAACCGCCACAATACAATGGATATTGTTACAGATGTGTTTCAGTTATATATAGGTAACAGTGGCTGGTAACTGAGGTAACTGTGGAAGCCACAAAATGATACATCATACTGGTTTATTTTGCAGTGAAATACTTTTCACAAAGTTTGCATTTTTTCTAAGTTGCAAAAATTTTCATTTTACAGTGAAATGTAATTAGCTATAGTCATATAGGAGGTTGCCAAGGCATGACAGAAGGAACACACTTAGTTACAGTTGAAAGATTACTTTACAGGATTTTGACAGCAGCAAAGTAACACTTTGCAATATTTTTGTTTTAAATGATAATTATAAAATGTTCAATTCTTTCAGTGGAGAATTGATATCAGTGCTTCAGACAGGCTAGTTACTATTAATGCATCAAACATACTGTATAGGGGGTATATTTTATGGGGATTTAATTTTGCTAATTTCATATTCGTGGAAATTTTTGTCTACAAAAATTATTTTTTACCATACTAATAATAGTTAGTAAAAGAAAAATGCAAAAATTTTTCCTTGTAAATAGGTTGAAAGGTGATTTTCATGGAATATTTTCCCTGGCAAATATACCCCCTTGACGGTATTAGTTTGTTATTTACCTTTATTGATCTACATGTATATACATGCATACATGGCACATGTACAACACATGTATACAAGATTTGTCTTGTTATGAATCAATAAATATCCTGACAGGTGGTCTAAAATAACTATGCATGTAATGTGTCATCCCAGAGCATGTGTTCATTTATAGCGTACATAAAATAAAATTAAAACTATCAAAATAAACAAAATGAGTTCCAAAAGTAGCTTGGAAACAGCACTAAAAGGGACCAAATTAACTTTTGCCAGCTATAAAAGAGCAACTGTCAAATGATAATCATAAAGCTTAAGGAATAATAAAAAATATTCTTAAACAAGATAATTTTAAAATGTTTCAAACCATCATGTCTTCCACATTCTCGCCCTGTATCTTAACAGTAGCACTGGTGGCAATGTTTATATCACTTGTATGTACCACTCCTACAACAAGTATTCAGCAACCTG